AACCAACAGAACCTGGAGAACCAATAGAACCTACAGAACCAGAACCTGGAGAACCTACAGAACCAGAACCAACAGAACCAAAAGAACCAACTGAACCAGAACCAGGAGAACCAGAGCCAACAGAACCAGAAGAACCAACTGAACCAGAACCAAAAGAACCAGAAGAACCAACAGAACCTGGAGAACCAACAGAACCAGGAGCACCAACAGAACCAGAACCAGTAGAACCTAGAGAACCAACAGAACCAGAACCAACAGAACCCGGAGAACCAACAGAACCAGAACCTGGGGAACCAACAGTACCAGGAGAACCAGAACCAAAAGAACCAACAGAACCAGAACCAGTAGAACCAACAGAACCAGAACCAACAGAACCTGGAGAACCAACAGAACCAGAACCTACAGAACCAGGAGAACCAACAGAACCAGGAGAACCAACAGAACCAGAATCTGGAGAACCAACAGAACCAGAACCAGGAGAACCCAGATCAGGACACAGATCTGGAGATCTGGGCCTCAATCCGGTGGTTATTCCTGGAATCCCTTTCAAAATAAAACACAAACAGGAACCAGCATGGCGAGTGCGGAACTGCCACCGGGGGCGCTGAAGCGTCCCGTCAGCAGCAGAGCCGCCATCTTTGATCCGCAGAATGGAAATCAATAAAAGAGTAAAATCTGTGTTGTTTTCATTTAATAATCTGATCTGAATCAAATTAGGATTATTTTAATCTCAAATTCCTAATCTGGAGTTCTGTAATAGGATTAACGTTTATCACTAATATTTTACTCTGGAAATATTTTAATAACTCTTAAAAACAGAAAAGGCACAACTGTCGCAGGTTTCTGGGAGACAAAACTGAACAGTTCAGATTATTACACAGAAAAATCTGATAATTTGGGATTACTAAATTTGGGATTATTTCCAGGAGAAATGAATTAAAACTGGACAAAATTAACATTTGTCACATTCTCAATACTCCTGGTTCCCAAAGGCTTTCAACATTTATAACATTTAATGCAGTTCATATAAACAGCTGCTTTACGTTTGTCATAACAAAATTACACAAATTAACTTAAAACTGATTGTTTAGCAAAACTTCGCACTGAAAAATGTTCTGAAAAGATGTAAAAATCCAGTATAAACATAAGACAGTAGTAATAAAACATCTAATCTAACTGCTGATTATGTTTAAGAATTAAATGTTTCTTTAGTAAACTTGAAAACTTATGATTACTCAAATTTTTTTAATAGTTTGAACCCAAAAACATGAAATTACTTAAGCAAAGGGCGCGCCACCTAGTGGCCACAGTCATTACAACAGGTACAGCTTTTCAACACACCACAACTAAAGAGGATTCGGCCGGAGGGGGAGCGGCAGCAGGACATGATCGACCCAGCGCCATGACGGCACACCGGCACCCAAAACAAACTAAATAAAATGACATCGAGGCCCAATTCGGACCGAACATCCCGGTTAGCCAATCCGGACCTTCTGCTGACATAAAGCGCTGCACCAACACAGTATGGGAAACTAACCGACTTCACTTCAGATTATATCGGACTTTGAAAGACGACAACCTTCAGCACCAGTTTCATTTTCCATAAGCAGTCTTCACACACTTCAAAATAAGAACCTGAATGCAAATTTCTACTTGAAGAGTTTAGTTGATAATCAAACTGCAACACAGACGTTGAAGATTATTGAATTTTTTTTATTTCAATTATTTTAAAACTTTTAATACACAAATCAAAAAAGAAATAAACACCCCGTGCTGAAAAACAATTGCAGAAATAAATAAACATTTAATTTTCTGTCAATGGCAAGAACCAAACTGTTGACCAAGAGGAGTTTAGTTATGAGGACACCTTCAGGCTGTTACAGGTACAACATCATCAAAATCAACTTTTCTAAAGATATCTTCAAGAAATTTCAGCCAAAACAGTAGACAAACACATAAAAGAAATTATCAAACCTTACCGTATTAGGTTTTTTTTTTAGTTTTTCTACAGTTTTTAAAATTTGAAGAGTGAAAAAGAGTTTTAACTCTTTGATTATTCCACATTGAATCCATCAAACTGAAGTTGTTTTTAATATTCATCTGACGTTTTGGTTTTTTAAAATAAATCCTCTCTCAGTTCATATTTTGTTTCTTTAATTTCAAACCATGAAATCTGATTTTAAAAACTTAAGTTTCTTCAATACTGTTTATCATGATTATTTATTCAAAGTTAAAAGAAAAGAGACGGGTCTTCAAGGGATCACAACTAACTGAACATGTTGCCCAAAATATGTTGTCATTTTCTCATTAACAGCTGCTGTTTGTGATAAAAACTTATGATTACTTGAAAAAAATGTGTATCTTTTGTTTTTCACCTGTGAGGGTTTCCATTTTGTCATTAGCATGGTGGCTTAATGACGCAGTCAGGAACCCTCTGGACAGAGTAGGCCACCTTTAACAGTCATTTATTTATTATATCATGTTTGACTGATGTAAATTTAGACAATGCCGCACTACGTCACTGTTGGCGGTAATTTAAAAACAACAGCAAAACAAACAGAAATAGTGAGTTGAGTCTGCATCGCTTCCCACAAGAAAAAAAGAGCGCAATGGGATAGAGCAGTTGGAAGAGCACAGCTTCTGGAGGACCCACATCTGTGCTCTCAACATTTCTCTCCAGAAGACTTTGAGTCATTTGTAGGAGCAGATTGATGAAGGAGCTAATTGGTGGTTGTTCCCATCACAAGCTGAAACCAAATGCCTGCCGAAAATGTATCCAAAAAACCTAAACCTGACACCAGACCGGACACAGAGCCACAGAACCACTTACCGGATCACACAGTCCGACCAGAGGTAGGTGTCATTCATTGTTCCATTTATGAAGCTAGCAGCCGCACAACTGGCTTCGGCTAACTCTGTCCTCTTCCTCCGTTTGCTCCTCCTCATCTTCATTGTGATTTCTACGTTCCCATTGATTTCAACGAGCTCCGGTTCAAATGGCAAAGGCTTAATAACGGTACCCATCTGTCTTACCGTATTTGGCTGTGATGAATGACGTGCTCAGTCGTCATTTACCCAGAATGCATTGCAGCGTAAACAACATGGCCACAGTTGTGTGACAATATTTTGTTTAATTTTTTTTTTTTTAAAACAACTACTCAGCAGCCACTATTTTTACTGTATTTTTTTTCTAATAAATATTTATGAATTAAAGTTTGCTGCAACTAATCATGGATCCTTTCTGAAGGCATTAAAAGCAGAAATGATGGAGCCTGTCTAACATCCAGAGGAAAGTCGATCGTGTTTGGCCGTTTGGAGACGTGCAGCAGCTTTCAGATGTATGAATCCCTGACTCCTTCATGGAGGATACGACAGTTATCCAGCCAAGTGGTAACAATAATAATAATAATAATCAAATTTATTCATAAAGCCCTTTATATCTCCACTTAAAGGGCTTTATGAATAAAGGTTGGTTACAAAGAGTTTGATTACTGTTTCTAAATGTTGATGGGACAGAATGCTGCAGTCAGATGGATGAACACAGTTCAGGTCGGACCGGTCTGAAAAATGTTCAAGATTTCTCAGAGACTAAAGCAATATCAATCAATCAAATCAAATTTTATTTGTATGGCACATTTCAGCAACAAGGCAGTTCAAAGTACTTTACGTCATAACAGAGGAGCAAAAAGTGGGTATGCAACGCATAGGGGCGCAGCGATTTATGTTTCGCATCCACCTGAATAATGTGCAGTTGCGCCACTGCATCATAAAAATAGAAAGTAATAAAACAGTTACATTTAGTCAAGTGGCATCGTTAAATGTTTCATTTATCCTGTTTCAAAAGCAGCTCCAACCAGCTGGTTTTAGTCTGGATTTAAATGAACTCTGGGTTTCGGCTGTTTTTCAGCTTTCTGGAGGTTTATTCTTTTCTGCATCAGAACCAGAACCAGCAGGTTGAGGGTTAGGTCAGTGTAGAACCAGGTGGTGTAGAACTGGGTGGTGTAGAACCGGGTGGTGTAGAACCAGGTGGTGTCTCTACCCTCCTGGTTCTAGTCAGATCTCCAGCTGCAGCTTCTGGTCTCAGTCTGACCTGCTGCAGGAATCAGAGCCACTAAATCCTGGATGAGTTTCTCTGGTCGGAGACTTTCGTCCTCTGGGCCTGAATGTCCTGCAGCTGCTGGAAGGTCCACTGAGGAACCGGCTTCATGTGGCTCTGGAGGGTCAGGTCAGAGGTCATCGCAATAGTTGCATCTTGAGTCAGAGATGAACTTTCCTTTCATCAGTCACCTGCAGCAGAAAACCTACTGAGAATCCTCAAAGCTTGTCAGCTTGTTTTATGTAGAAACTCTTGGCCAGTACCTCCATCCTCCTGTTGCTGCAAGGCGGTTCGCTGGGACCAGATTCAAGGTTTTTAAAACATTTACTAAAGCCAGGCAACAAATAAAAGAGATAGAAGATGATTTTCATAAAGATGAGTTGTTTTTGTTTCTTCACACACATCCACTTATCTCTCTTCTCTTCTTTCTCCTTCTCCTCTTTCTTGTCTTCTTCCAGCTTATTTTCCTCCACATCTGGATGGAGGCCATAAAAATAAATCGCCTTCCAAAACAATCCAATTAAATAAAAAACGGGCACACTTCCAGCAAAGATTGCAATGTTCAAAGATGAGATCTCTAAGTGAAGCGGATTTGAGCTAATTCCCCAGTACCACAACCCACAGAGGACCCAGATGTCCACCAGCATGTAGAGGTGGTAGAACAGCATCAGTTTGCTGGTCCTCCTCTTCACCACGCCGCTGAACCAGCTGAAGTACCAGATCAGGGCCACAGTGCCTCGGAACAGCCACTTCTCAACGGTAGACTTCCTGAAGACTGAGTCTTCTTGTTTCGTCTCGATGTAAGAGGCAACAAAGAACAGGAGCAGCCAGGAGCAGACAAAGTGGGTGAAGATGAAGCAGGGCTCCACGGAGGCGAAGAGGGCGAGGGCAACAAGGCGACTCAACACCAGGAGCAGCTTCCAGAGGAAGATGATCGCGAACCGCATCACTGTCGTACAAGAGCAGCACCAGTACTGGTTGGTCTCACTGAGGCAGGACATGACTGACTTGTAGTACTTGACCTCAGAGAAGATGATGCTCACAAATGAGACCAGGATCTTACGCACTGAGGAGAAACAGAGACAATAACATTCAGAAAGGAGATGAAGCTAATGGTACGACACCAAGAACCCAACGGTCAACAATCTGTTGGCATCAGAACATGAAGGTCTGATAGTCACTGAAAAAACTTGAGACTGACAAAAGTAATGACATTTACTGAAAATTATTCAATAAAAGCCATATATTGCTTTTGAAACATGGCTCAGTGAAATAATTTAAAGAATAAATGAATGAAACAGCTTCTAGATCTTCAGCTCTGAGGATCTGTACCTGTGAGGACAGTCGGTGTCCAGCCATCGTCACTCAGGGCGATGCTGAGCATGAGGACGACCTGAGGAGCGCTCTCCGAGTACACCTCAAAGATCCCCAGAATTCTCTGATCCTGTTTACGGTACTTTATTATTTTCTTCAGTTTCTCGGACTGAAAGCGAACGTTTTCCATTGAAGCCGTTGCAATGGCTGCATGCCTGGAACAGAAACAGCGACACTGAGGTAAGGACATGCCGATGTTTAGGTTTAATGTCTGAGGACATTAAACCTGGCCTGGTTTAATGTCCTCAGACCAGGAAACTTTAAACGTTTCTATCTAAAAGCATTACAATTAAAACAAATGAAGGCAACTTAAAACAAGTTTTGACTGAAAAACTGAGGAACCCAGTCCTGCTTGCATTGGACCCACCTGGTGTAGATTCCTAAATGGAAGATGTGCAGAAATCCAAGGTTGGGATACAGAATCCTCTCCAGGTTGGTCATCATGGCAAACTCATCACCTTTGTACCAGAGCCAGCTGAAAGTGTGTGTGAGCACGGCCGAGCCCACGAGCAGAATCAGCAGAACAGCGAAGTATCCATACTCCCTATTCAAGCCAAACATCACCAGAGTCTTGAAGTCCAAAACGATGTCGAGAAGAAACAATAGGAGACCCAGAAGATCGAGGAAAAATGACCAAATGCTCTTGGGCTTTCCCATGCAACTCTTAATAAAACTCCATCCAGTAGGGGAGGAAGACGTTTCGTCTTGGTCTGGACTCTCCTCACTATGGGAAGGAGGCCTGTCATCTGAAAGCTCCTCAATAGACAAAGAAGGCCTGGCCTCCGCCATTGCAGCAGCTGAAATACCAGAACAACTGACAGTAAAAGGTTTCTGCAGAAACTCCACCCACTCCTGGTCCAACCTGTCAGACTGGAGGCCGCCTCCTTTCAGGCCTACAGGAGGTTTAACTCTGCTGCTTGCCTGAACCATCTGCAGCAAATGTTCTGCTCTGGTCTCTTCCTGTCTCTACCGACCTGCTAAGCCAACCAATCCCACAAAGTGGGGATGAAACCTGAGAAGGAGATCCGTTTTTCCTAAAGTAGCGGTGGAATCCAGCTCGATCAGTCATGTCTGAACTTGAATAAACCATGATAAAACCTCCTCATCTAAAAAAATATTTACTCTAAAGGGAAATTAAGCCAACTTTCTTCAGAGTTGTGTAGTTGCTGTGGGTAGGAAGCACCTCCTGTAGAGGTCAGTGTTACAGTGAGTATTAGGAAGCCTCTGAAGAATGAAGAGCATTCTCACAGTTATCTATTATTCTTCATTTTCTGAAGAATCCTTTCTTTGATCAGCATGTTGATCTTTTTGAAGTCAGCGGTTCTGATGCTGCAGAAGAGATTAGTCTCCACAACAGACTGATAGAAGATCTGAAGCATCACATCGAACTGCTTTCATAATACTCTGGTTTGGTTCTGGCAACGCTTGAAGTTCATCTATTTAGTTTGCCAGAGATCTCAGGTTATGATCAATGGAGGAGAAGGTTTAACTTCCTTCTCTCTGCTCTGCATGAACATCTCAACTCTTCTGATATTATCGTAGTCGATGATACCACGTGTGAAAACACCTTGTTTCTATGTTTGCACATCATAACTGTCTAAAAATATAAAAACAAAAATCCTCTTAGCTGCACGGCATCCAGCACCAGATGAGGTAACCACGTGAAAAAACAATCTCTAAAAGAGACAGATTTATGTATTTTAGTTCCATTTTATAGCACAATCAAGTATTTATGTCACTGCTCACTTGTCTTAACTTTGATATTTATTTTAACGACTGTATTGTGTTTTATATATTGTTCAGTTCCTAGTGCTCGGTATTTTTATTGTCTGGTCAGTTTAAAAATTACTGTTGGGTGATGTCATCAGGAAACGCGTTCTGCCTTTACTAACTTAAACTGGATTAACTAGTTTTGGTGAACAGCCCTAGAACTCCCCCTGGTGGTTGTTTTGAGACAACGTTTGGTTGAGAATGCGGACGGATCCAAGATGGCGGAACGTAATGCCGGAGAGTTCCTGAATTAAACTGATATCAACGTTGATGCGTTGCTGTTTTGGACAAGATTTGTCCGTAAGTATTGGTTAATGAGGAAATTTATAATTATCTCTTTGTTTTGTGTAACAGTGGTGTGATAATTATAATTGTTGCCTTCAGTTTTAGATGGTCAAAGAGAAGACATTGGTCAGAGGCCATGCTTCAATAAATCAGTAAAAAGAAAGAAGCATCGTTATCTTTCTGGTAAAAGTAGAAAACTGGGTGGAGGAGAGGCACAGCATGACACACAGCTCTACATCGCCATGACTCCTGGTGACCTTTGACCAATTAATGAAGCTTTTAACTGAGCTGTAGATGTAAAGTCATGAAGGATGTCGAGAAAAGTCGAGCTCATCCCACTTCCCCATACTGGAGATTTTAGTTTAATAATAACAATAAATAAAGTTATCTTTAAAACTGATTACACAGGTGACATCAAGACCCAACAGTAGAGTCAGATGGTAATAAAATTAATCTGGTTGTGTCCTGCAAACTTTGCTTTAATTCTACTTTTTTCTATTTAATCATAAAAAATCATAGTCAGACAGAAAGAGTTATGAAACAGGAAGAGCAGGTTTCCTGGAGAAAGAGGAAGTTTCCAGCCTGCAGTGATTCAAAATAATTCAGACTGCTCATTCAGGGCATTAAAGGTTTAAAGAATAAAATCTAAACATTTTGAGTAATTGGATAAAACCCAGAGTAAAATACTTGAATTAATAATAACTTATAATTAAGTTAATAATTAGTATTGGTTTAACCAGTGGTTGATGTTGGTTTGATTATAAGAATATTTACTCTTACACTTATAGAAGTACTTAACGGTGAAAGAAGTAACTGTGACTTTGGTGTCAAATAATTGGAATAATGGATTATTCTTGGTTTCTTTTCAGAAATGTCTGTAATGACTCACATCATGATTATAATAAGAGTAACTAATAAGTAATGGTTATTATAAAATTATAAATGAATGCTAAATCAGAGAAACTAAAAGGTTATAAATGTGATTTTGACATTGAACTTGAAATGTGGTGAAATGTGTAACTGTAACTAAAGGTCACTGATGTTGTGTTGGAGGTAGATGGTAGGTGAAGGTCAGGAGGAAAGAGGAACCGAAAGGAGAGCAGAGGTAACCAAGACATTAGGTCATTAGAACAGACATCATGTCTCCAAGATGGTGATGGATATGAGATCATCTGTCCAAGCAGTCAGTACGGAGGAAACAGGTGCAGAATTCAGACAGGGAACTGAAAGTGCAGCTCAGGAGAAATAAAGTTCATCTGTAGTCTGAGGCTAACCAAAGAACAGTTGACGTCAAGGAAAAACGCACGTGAGGAAAGAAAGTGTGTGGCTGCTGATAAGAATAAAAAGACACCAGACAGGAGGATCGGGGTTCTTCGTTCCGCAGCGTTCGAGACGAGCAGATGGAGATGCAGAATCAACGGAGGGCTGCGTGGTGATACCCCGGGACGACTGCTCGCTGCACAAGGAAGGAACAAGATCCGTTTACCCACAACCCGGGATTCTGATTCGACTGCGGCCCTGCACTCAACCCAAGGGATTACATCGATGCTGCAGTGGACATGGGGAATATACCAAGATCTTTTGTGGATTAAGAACTGAGTTCGTTGAGGATTCTCACCAGTTCAACTTTGGATTTATTCTAAAAGGATTCTGCCAAGACAAAGACAGGACTCCATCCATGGACGTTAAAGTTTTCTGCTGCCAAGATCGTCTCTGCATCTGGGTTTGAGTAATACTGCCTCCCCCAAAGCCTCTATTTAGATTAAGACACAGTGTAGGGTAGAAGTAGGAGTAATTTCTGATGATTCTTAAAAGTTTTAATTTCTTAATTTTTTATTGAAATGCTGTATGTCTTTTCCCCTGCTAAAGCTTGCTAATAAAACTACTAAAGTCTAATTTGATGTTGTGGACAATTAAATTAATTGAGTCATTTAGATTTAATTCTTCTGGTCAATGTAAAATCAGTGTTTGTGGTCCTAAGTATATTAGGAGGCTTCGTACGTTCTTTAGTTCAGATAAATAATGTCCCTGTGACTTATTCCTAGTCACTAAAACTGTCTAAGCCGGTAACAAGTGCACGTTAATAATTAGGGAGAGAGCTACCGTCAACAGATGTGGTTCATGGGTTCGGACACCGGCGGGGCTACTCCGATTGTCTGAATCATGGGCAGAAGCGGGGCATAACGTCTGGATGTAGGTAGTTAGAGCTTAGACGAATCTCTCTCGCGCCCAGCTTAAACAAAAGTTCTCTAAATTCCTATCTGCAGTAATACTCGGGAATTAGAGGCTTTTCGGACCCGTGAGACGGAGAGCTGGTCAGTATTCAGTCCGCTAGAGTTGGGAGGAGTTAGGGGCGTGGCTAAAGGTCACGCCCCTAACTCCTTGTTAATGTTGTGCATTAACAAGGAGAATTTCCTTCAATAAATCAGAACCAAACTGGAGAGAAAATCTGGAAATGGATCAGAATCGGTTTCATAAACCAGATTAAAATATTTAATCTCTAGCTGGATGGACGAATCCTTCAGAATCTCTGGGTCAGCAGGGATCAGAACCAGGAGTTCTGCCCATGTCAGCCGCGTTCTGGAGCGCAGGCGTCCGTCCCACCAGAACCATCAGCTGGACTCAGTAGAACCGTTCTGTTTCAGGCTGATTTGTTTTGATGAAAAATATTCAGTTTTTGTAGAAATCTCTAAATTTCTTCAGGACCTTTGCTGCGTTCAGGAACTGTGGGAATTGTTACATTTTCTCCAGGAATTTCCTAGATTAACTCAGACTTCAGTTCTCTGCATGCCGGGTCCAGATTCTGCCTCCATTACTGGGTTTTATTCAGAACCTTTTCTAAAGCTTCAGTATTTTGCTCCAGAATGAACCAATGAAACCAGCTGGACGGTTTTTATCGACGTCGGTCGTAAATTTCTCTCCTGAATCAGGAGTTCGGACCTGAAGCACCATGAGCTGAATGTGTAGGAAATCAGAAACTTGAGCCAGAAAAGGTTTAAAATGTATTTACAGTCCCGGACGGTTCAGGACCGGAGCGGTCCGAGTTTCCAGAACCACATTCCGGTTCTGCTCGGCTCCGAAGTGAGATGAACAGAAAGAAACGCCGAGGAGGAAACGGACCAGCAGGTCCATCAGAACCGCTGCTTCTTCAGAACTGATGTACGACTTGAACCGGGCATGAGGTCAGAACCGGGACCAGTCAGAACTGGGACCGAGGTCAGAACCAGGACCAAGTTCAGAACCGGGCCTGGTCAGACTGGTTTCCATGGATTTCAGGAGATTTCCTGTCAACCTGCAGGTTCTGACCAAAATGTCTCAAAGTTCTCCAGAACCGGAGGTTCTGTCGTGATTTCCTGCTGCAGTTTTCCCGCAGTAACCTGACCTGTGATTGTCGCAGCAACTAAGCCAGGGGTGGCCAAGTCCAGTCCTCGAGAGCCGCCATCCTGCAAGTTTCAGATGCATCCCTGCTTCAACACACCTGAATCAAATGACTGGCTCGTTATCGGGCCTCTGTAGAGCTGATCCCGGTCTGTTGGAGTAAGGATACTTCTAAAACTTGCAGGATGGTGGCTCTCGAGGACTGGACTTGGCCACCCCTGAACTAAGCGACACTCCTGACCAAAGGAGCGTCTGGTGAGATGAACCGAAACACGGAGAGACTTTATCCGAGCCGTGTTTGGGTCGGCGCCGGACGGAGGGCTTCTGGGTCTCAGTGCAGGCAGAACAGGAAAATGAAGAAGCGTCTGAATGGAAAAATAACACTTTGATACGAAGAAGCTGCAGATACACGAGCGACGCTTAAAGGCACAGGACATAAATACGCCGAGTCACCAAACACACCGGGTCCACATTCCTCACGGTCCAATCAGAACATTCGCTCCGCTTCCTGTTCGTGTCTGAAGGACAAATCTGTCTGGTTCGGTCCGGTCTGCAGCAGGTGGAGCTCAGTTGCCGGTTCTGGTTGCCATGGTGAAGTTCTGATAAAGTTCTGCTGTGCTGAGGGAAAGCGACGATGGAATCCGGACCTTCACAGGGATTTTAGGAGTTGTTCCGGTTCTTTGGGATTAAAGACGACCTGAGTGTTCATCGTCTCGGTTCGGATCGGGTGGGAGCATGCAGGACCGGATCACAGAGCACAGCGGTCCAGAAGCAGAACTTTCTGGGTCCAGACTAAAACACATTGAACCGAACGGACGTCTCCAGGACTGGAAGTCCTCTGCAGGACGTCCAGATGGAGACGGGGGAAGTGAAGCGTGAGTCAGTCTGAGCGGCGGCGAGTTTAGCTGCCATACAGGGCGGGGCGGACTCAGACTCCGCCCCCAAACATGGCCGCCAGGCACAGGATGTCTACAGGAAGTCCAGCTCCAGCGCCTGGTGGAGGGAGACGAGGTCGCCGTGGGTGGAGATCCTCCAGAAAGGCATGTTGTGCTGCAGGAGGAGACGCCATGTTAGCTCAGAGATTAGCTTGCACTGTTTAATTATTGCTGTTTTGTTTGTTTATTCTGGATATTTAAAATGTCTTCCAGTACCAGGGTTAAATATTCTTTAGAGGTTAACATTTTATAATCTCATATATAAATATACAGAGATCCTCGCTATAACGCGGTTCACCTTTTGCCGCAGATTTTTTTGTGTGCCCTTTTTCTCACAATGCATTGTGTTCTGCGTCCTGATTGGCTAAAATATACGTAATACAGATTGGCCATTCAGGAAATGGAAAGTGAAACTTTGAATACCTGCTGGAAAAAACTGTGGCCGGAGGCTCTGCAGCAGATCCAGCTGTGAATCTCGCAGCTTGGAGGAGTCGCTTTATGACACGACTCCGGATCACATTAATGCCGTGATTGAAAGACACAGACACCCGCTGACCTGAAAACAGGTTTTGTTCTTTGGTTTCAATGTAGAGTATTTAATTATGCTCTGTAATAGTTGTAAAAAACTAAAGGTAACTACTTCGCGAATTTCACTTATCGTGGGTTATTTTTGGAATGCAACCCAGGCAAAAAACAAGGGATCGCTGTATACACGTATACTTCCACTATTATTGTTATTATTGGTTACTGCAGTCATTTCTGGGACAACTGATCATTCAGTAAAGTTTGTTATGACAGAATTAAGCAGTGAAACTGCGCCTCCTGCTGACAAAACTGGTAACTACACTGTAACCTGGAGCCATTAAATTTGACATGTCATACAAAATCCACTTTTTTATCCCATAAATGTTGTTTTTGTACGTTGAGTGTCCAGGAATGCTGCATAAATGTCTTTCTATTCTCTCTGGGTTATATTTTTCAGTCTGTTCACTTTTCTCTGTTGCCTGTAACCTGTTCTTGTCTATGACGTCACCACTTGCTGTGGAAATGCTGAACAAGGTCATGACTTCCAG